TATATAGAAAGGATCGAGCCAAAATATACAAATTCGTTTGTAAATCTTTTGATCCAAAACTAGAAACTATGATGAGCTCTACGCTAAACCTTAGACATGAACATTAAGTTCGAAAGTAGGTTTTTTTTTTTTGAATATCTAAAGGGTATTTGCTCGTCGACATGCGCCGCCCCCCCATCTACAATTCTGGTTACAGACGGGGACCACACCTACATATGTATCTATAACGCATGTTGCGATTGTCAATCTTCAGTTGGAGCTTGTCTTTTCGATATGTGTATGTGTGCGCACACACACACACACACACACACACACACACACACACACACACAGCGTACTTTTTGTTGTAGGTGTTGAATTTCCACTTGCCTCTCTCGCACTTTATCTCTGTGCACACACACAGATAACTGACTGTATCTTTGTATCTTCATCTGGCTATCATATAATGAATATACATGTATGTACTATGTATATATATATGTGTGTGTGTGTATGTGTGTACTTCTTCCGGATCCATTGTTATGGCAAGTACATGTAAATTATTATTCACGTTGTGCTCATTGTCGTGAGCTCGTAATTACCACGCACTGTAATGCTCTAACATCTGACAAGTGCCACGCCTCACGCCCACGCCCACGCCCACGCCCACGCTCAAATGCCAATCACAGGTAAATTTCGCAAATCTTTCAAATTGAAACTAAAAGCTAAACTTGTATAAATAAAAGATCTAGATCTTTATTCCAAGATGAACTAGAATTGTTCGAGAAATAATTAAAGAGTATTTGCTGTGGAACTTGGAATTTGTGCAATCTTTAAAGTTGTGTAGTTTTCCTCTTGCCTCATGATTATTATTATTATTATTATTGTCTTTCTAATTAGTAAGATTCGCTGTAAATATTTGTTTTTGTTTTTGTTCATGGGCAAAATGAACCAGTTCATAATTGAATTAGAATCAGAAATATGCAAAATACAAAATTTATGGAAAGCCATTGAAAAGTTAACAAAAAAAAATAAATATCCAAAAATAAATAAAATGAGAGTAAAATGTTAATTTACTGGGAATTTGAGTTACAAAATTTCAAGATCATGTTCTCTATTTTTCGCTTGAGCTGTTTCTCTATCAAAAATATCATTTGAAACGTGCCTTTCGAGTTAGTTCCAGTTAAATTTAATGAATGCAACTATTTTCGCAAGGATCAAAAGGTAAAAGTTGAACAGTGTGACCATATTTCCGCTTTATAATCTTTCAAAGAGCTTAAAAAGAGCAAAAAAAAAGAAAATTATATAAAGGAGTTTTCTATGAAATAAATTTCTGCAGAATTCTATGCAAACTTTTAATTGGAAGCTAACCGTATGTGTGTGTGTGTGTGTGTGTGTGTGCATGCGACTCGTTTCTGCTTTTCGCATTCTTCTTCTTACATTTGCGCAACTTTATTGCACTCAATTTTTGCGCATTTTATGGTTACAGAGTTGAAAAATAAGAAGAAGCAGCTGCCGCAGCAGCAGAAGAAACGCGCTGTATCTTTCAATAGATACTTTCTAAGTCAACGACAGCGTTTAGAATTTATCTAGTGCGCACACACACACAGACGCACACGCACACACACGCGCGCGCGCGCGCGCACACGCTCTCTCGTCAGCGTATGTGTGTGTAGATCTATCAGTGCGCCAACTTCGTCTTCGTTCTTTGCGATGTGTCTTTCGCTCTCTGCCGCGCTCGCTCTCTATCTGTGCATGTGTGCGTGTGTGTGTTCGCTTGCTGTCCGCAAATATGTTCATACAAATATTAAATTGTACATACCAGCATACACGCCCCCCCCCCCTCCTCCCCCCTTGCGTACCATCCTTTTAAGTCTTAGCAGCCACTCACCGTCCGTGCGTTGTATAAATTTTCTGTGGAACTGTACAATAGCTAAATAAAAAGAAGAAAAAAAACAAAGTTAAAGCACACAGACCAACGACGACGATACAAGAGTTAAGTATTAAATGTACGTGCGCTGCACACACATACAGTTAGTGTGTGTGAGAGAGAGAGAGAGAGAGAGAGGAGAGATGCATGTGTATTGTAGTTATGTATGGCTAGTAAGTGTAAGTAGCGTGTATTTGTTTTTTGTCGTCTTTTTGTTGCTGTTGTTGTTGTTGTGGTTTTTTCTTTAATAGTTGTCCGTTGAGCACTTTGGCTGCGACTTGGACTACGACTTTAGCACGCTGAAATAACTAAAGCAACAGCAACAGCAGCAACAACTACAACAGCAACAACAACAACGGCATTAAGAGACAAATGTTGAGTTTCTTGACTTTTCTGCCTTTACTATTTAGTGTTGGCAGCCTGAAGTTCGGCTCTCTTTGGTTGTATGTTTGTGTTTGTTTTTTTTTTCGTTTTTCGTTTTTCTTTTGTTTTTTTGCTCTTAGTTTGTGCATGCCGGCAGTAGCTGCTGCTGCTGCTGCTGCTCGTACTCTTACTCCATTATCCATGCTCATGCATTTTATACGTTTGTTATAAACTGTAATATTTCCTCATATGTAAACCGCGAGCGACGTTAACGTTGACGTCGACGTCGCCGCCGTAGTTGACGTTAACGTTGTATTCATTACTGTTGCTGTTTTTCTTTACTATGGTTTCAATTTTATTTAATTTTATTTTAAACTCTAAACAAAAGACTCCAAGTGAGCTGCAGACTCGACTTGGACACACACACACACACGCGACACAATGAATGCTAATGGCTGGAAGAAGGGGCAAAAAAAAAAAAATCAAAAAAAATGGTTAGGGGGGAGGGGCGGGGGGTTAACGATTGAACGTACCATATGCGGGCAGGGCATAAAAACATACACACACATATGCACATAGTTATGAATGCGATTGTGAGTGAGTGTGTGTGTGTGTGTGTCTTTATAAATTATACAGATATTCCATACATGCACATACATAGTTATGTTTGTAAGTATACTAACGTGTATATTGCTGTAGTTATATTGAGACAAGAAAAAAAATGCGACATGGAGACGGGAATTGTACGTACAAGTACTCGGTCGTACAAATATGTATTGCAAATTGGTTGGGTTTTCAGTTCCAGTTTCCAGGTCGTTGCTGGTGTCTCTAACTATGACTGTGTGTGTGAAAGAGAGAGAGAGAGATAGAGAGACGCTGTAAGCGTTTGCGTAGTTATTGCATGTTCTTATTTCTTGTTTCTATTTGCGCGACTGACTGCAGTTTTTCTAGATCTTATGATTTCCTTCTTCTCATCGCGATCCCATCCAAATTTGAGTTTGCCATTTTGTTGTTGTTGTTGCTGTTGCGCTTGATTTCCATCATTTGAATAGTACAAGAAGCGTTGTCGTTATTTGAGCTGAATCTGGAACTGGTTCAGGAATTTCACATTCCACAAAAAACGACGCATTGCCGTTTCAGTGTTGATCATTGTGTGCATTTGATTAGGTGTTGCAAGTGTTGCGCAGTATTTATTATTCTGTCATTTTTTAGTACTTTAATGCCAACTCTCAAATTAGTGCAACTTTAATTTGTAGCCAGCCCATTAAAAACGAGTACCAATTTGCAACTAAAGAAAAGCAGCGGCATTGAGATGCTCCTAATTTGTAGCTTATTGAAAACTAATACCAATTTGCAAGAAAATGCAGTCGCGATGCGTTGCGATGCGATGCTCTTAACATAAGATGTTGCTATATATACATACATACATAGATGCACTTGCATATATATATATGTATATATATATGTACATATGTATGTATGTATATATTTTTTATAATAAGCGCTTGAAGTGCAGCTTAGGATTTTATCTCTTGTTTTCTTTGCTGTTGAGACTTATTTTCTTGTTGCATGTATGCGTGTGTGTGTGTGTGTGTGTGGGTGGGTGGGTGTGGGGTTGTGTGCGGGTGTGTTCAACTTCAACTGATTCCTGTTCTGCTCGGCTCACTCCACAGTTGGATAAAAAGTTGTACTCGAAGTTAATATGCAGATGTTTGTCTTTACTTTAGGATGCAAAGCCCTTGGCATTTTGCGTAGTTTTATGTGCAATACACAACGCTTGGCCCCTTGCCGCCTGCCCAATCTCGCATTGCACTAACTTGTGCTCCCTTCGGCCGTCCTTGCTTACCCTTTTAAGCGCGCACAAACACACACACACACACACACACACACGTATGCATACAAATATTTAAAGAGCGAGAGAGTAAGAGAGCGAGAGAGCGAGCTATAAAACTAGAGAGCGCGCGTGAGAGAACATGAATTTATCGTTGTAGTTTCTGTGGCGGTTAACCTCACCTCACCTCGGCTTGCACACACACCCCACCCCTCCGTACCCCACCCCTGGCACTAACCATCCCCATTGAGCCCCTTGCCTGCCTTTAGTAGCAGTCATCCGGCTCATAGAGTTTATTTTATTATTTCGTTTCGTTACGATTTTTGCTATTATTTATTTGTTCGCTTCCCACTGTCTGTGTGTGTGTGTGTGTGTCTCTGTGTGTGTGTGTTTTTAAGTTTTGTTTTTTTTTTTTTAGTTTTGACTTGTTTTCTTTTGTGTAATTTTATTTTCGTTTGTATCAAGTTCGTATGTGTGTGTGTGTGTGTGTGTGTGTGTGCTTGTGTGTGTATGGCAACGACAGTAAGAATTGTATTACCATTGTTGTTGTTGTTGTTGTTTTTGGAATCTACACAATAATAAAAATGCTCGAGTCTCATATATAGATTGGGTTGCTTGAAGGTGACAAAGCGTTGGTAAAGGGGAGGCGGGCGGGGGGAAGGTTTAGCTTGTTTGCCTGTCGTCTCTCTCTCTGTGTGTGTGTGTGTGTGTTTATTGTGTGCGTGTTTTTATTTTCTTGAATTTCAATTTTTTCCCTCTCTTGTTTCTTAGTTTTATTTATTTAGTTTTCGTCTACATTTGTTTGTTTTTGTTTTTTTTTGTTTGTATGTATTTTTATATTTCTCCGAGTCTCGCATTATTAATAAATAGTTTCTCGTTCTCTGTATTCCATTTCAGTAACCAAATCGCCGCCACTTCAACCGCGTCAACGTTTTCCGTCTTTTCCCGTGACGCAAAAAAACAAAAAAAAAAAAAAAACAACAAAAATAAAAAGAGAAAAAACAAAAGTCAAAATAAAATACAAACATTTGGCCACACGCTGCACGGCGAACAGCGTTGCCACTTGTTGATTTTGTTTGTTTTTGTTATTGTTTTGTTTTGTTGTTGTTCTTGTTTTTTCGGGTGTTCGCTTTGAAGTCCAATGCCGCCGCAACGGGAACGCGGCTAAATAACGGCAGTGCGACGCTAGAGAGGAGAAGATCTGGCATGCAGCTAGCTGGCTGGCCGGCTGGCTGCTCACACGCCTCCTCCTCTAACTCCGATTCCAGCTCCAGCTCCAGCTCCAGCTCCAGCTCCAGCTCCAATTCCAATTCCGATTCCAACTTCAATTCAAATTCCACACATATCTATACGCATCAGGACCAGGGCTACAGCTTCTATTACAATTCCTATCGCATATCCTGATCTCGTGCAAATTCAACATGGACGCCGAGATATGCAATCCGCAATTATGTCGCATTTGCATCACATCGCACACAAACTCTATGCAAATGATATCTATATTCGGCGAGGATTCGCTTTGGCAAAAGATCACCACATTGGCGGATGTTAAGGTAAGCAAGAAGAGCACGCCTTCCAATCAGACGCATCGATTACCAACTAGAATAGGGTTGAGCCCGCGGCTTAAAGTTCTGTTCGTGAACCTAATTTAACATAGACTTATGAACCGAGGCTTAAATTAGAAACATGCGGTTAAATCTTTAAATGAAATAATTGGAATTTTGGCTCGTTTTACTTGCGTCACAATTCAAATAAGAAAACAGTGCGCCAATTGGCAGTGTCCGACTAGCAGATACCACGCACATGTTTAGTGAAAGGCAAAGGATATGCCAAAAATATAATTAACTGGTTGTGCGAACAAGAATATTACCCGGCCTTGCCCGGCGGGCAAACTGGTTTCATGTGGTTTCATGAACAAAGATCTTTGAAAATTAGACTGGGAGTTCTTTTAAGATGTCTGCTAAGCTAATAGTATAAAAGTATGTTGAAGAAATCAAGTCATATCATATTATTGACGCTACGTGTTCTCAGAAGAGTTACTTGGGTATACAATCCAATTGGAATCGAATGCAAGCTGATTAGAATGTTCGATAGATAAGATATAAGATTGAAATGCAGTGTGTTTTAATTGCTGACTTCATGCAATGTTCTTCATATTGGAATGCTCTCTAAAACTATGTTAAAAACTTTTCATTTGCTTTCTTTGCGGTTGCTTTGAAAACTTCCAAGGGCTTACAAGACATTCAAATATCTGTTTGCTTTGCGACCATTAAAAGGAGAGAAGAATAAATGAAATAAAGAATCAAGGTATACGTGACTATTTTTAAAATATGCCATCATGATATCTCATTGTTCAACTTTTGACAATCTTTGCATGATTTAAGAGTTTATAAAATTAAACTTTTGGCAACCAGATTTGAACAATGTTGTTTAGAATCTGTAGAATCTATTAAAAGTTTTTGTTTGCTGCAAAAATCAAAGAAGCTCCAAGAAAACAAAGCATTTGGAATTCTATTTTAAGGCGTTTCCATCTGCATAACATTCCAACTGGCATCAGTTAACGCTGGTTCAGTTCCTCAAAAATATGTATATTACAATGAATGAACTAGTTGAATCGATGAAATGAACTTGTTGAAATGCTCAACTTCAACAAAATAGAATAGATCGTGCATGAACCAGTTCAGTTCACAACTGAGCCTGGCATTTCCAACTCCCCCAATTCAGCTGCTCGTTCTTAGATCTGCCGTAAACATGTGTACATGCATACATGCATACATGCGTACATGCACACATGCATGCATACATGCGTACGCGAAGGCGTTTCTCTATAAAGTGATATGTATACAATCACCCAATATACCAATACATGCGCACACATATGCATGCATGCATGTATGTGTGTCCCGTATATATGTATGTACTGTACGCGGCACTGATATATTAACATATTTCATAGAATAGCCGTAATTCACAACATTTTTATCTCTTTCACAGTAACTGACATGAAATGAAATGAAGAAAAAAAAAAAATAACGTTTCGTTTGCTTTTGTGTGTTTGTTTTTTTCGTAATTCTTTTTTTTTGTTTGTTTTAGTTGAGTTCAGCTCGCTTAGTTTTTAAGTATTATACCGTTTTTTTTTTTTTTTAGCCGGTGTATCATATACATGCATAATTTGGTTTTGTCTGTGCGTGTTTTTTTTTAAATTGGAATTTCTTCTGTTTCTTGTTGCTTGTATTAAGTTTTCTTTCGTTTTGCTGCTTTTGTAAAATAATTTACCGTTTGAATTGCTGCTTATATGTACATACATATACATGCATACATATGTACATGCATGCATATCTATATTTTTCTTCTTCTTTTGTTTGACGTCTCGCACACACACACAAGCACAACTTTATATGTATGCATGTAAATGTATAATTCATGTTTGGTTTAATTCCATAAATTTTTCTTTTACAATTTTGTGCTGCCGCTGCCGCTGCCGCTGCCGGTGCTGCTGCTGCTTCTTCTCGCATCTGCGCTCTCTTCACACAAACTGGGCTCTCTGTTTGACTATCGCTGTCTCGCTCGCGCCGCTCTTGCGCTCGCTCTCGCTCTCGCGCTCGGCATGCGGCGGCATTCATTCACTTAGTCGTTGTCGGCTTAGACGTTCGTTGGCCCCCTATCTGCCGCCCGCCCGCCCGCTCGACCAATGGGGCGGGACGCAGGTGGCGATTAGTGTTGCCAATTCAGCCATTTTCTAGCTACATTCGGCATTCCATGCAGTCGACAGTTTTAGCTATTTTTGGCAGCTCAGAGACAATTCACATTTTAGCTACTTTTATAGCTTATTTTTGCAAGCTATTCAGCTAGTTTTTTTTTGGATTGGGCAACACTGCTGCCCAAAACTCTTCGCACCGCGAGCTCCGCTTTGAATTTATTCCATTCCATTCCATTCCATTCATGTATTTTTTTCATATACATATTATAATTTATTTATTTGTTTTTGATTTTTTTTTCCTGAATGTGAAATGTTTTTCTGGTTTTCTGCTATTTCTGTTCAATTTGAGAGCGGCTTAGTTTTTTTTTTGTTTTTTTTTTTTTCACATCTTTTCACATAATTCAGTTGCTTTGGATACGATTTTTCTTACATTATGCTTTTCTGCTTCTTCTTTTCTAATCATTTTTATTATGGCTTTTTTATATCTTTTATCGTGTTTATGGGGCAAAACTCGTTGAGGAAACACGAGATCGCAGCAGATCGCGCACACACATGCATACGTATATGTATACATGTGTATGCATATGCATATGCATATGTATGTGTGCACACCTGAGTACTCTTTATGTCTGTGTATTTATTTTTGTAGCTCTGCTAATTCTTGTGTAAATAAAACAGTTTTTCCATATCAAGGTTTCTGTATAATGAATATGAATATAACTACATGCATACATGCATGCATACATACATGCATGCATGCATACATGCATGCACACATGCATGCATATGTATGTATGTATGTATATATCTTCAGCAATCTATTGTCCGTGTATTATTACTATTTTGTTCATTTAATACAAATCTCAAAACCAAATGAAAAAATACGCAACAGATAAAAAAAAAAACCTGTCGAGACGTTTTCTGTGCCTTCTATTTTGTTTCTTTTTTTTTTTTTTATGTATAGCTGAGATTTGGTTCGTCGACCCGAAAATCAAATTCGAATGAAAAAACAAAAAAAAAAAACCTTGTAAAAGTAAACTTTACTTTTTACTGGAAAAGATAGAAAACAAGGTTTTTAGCTGTGCTCCAGGGTTTGTCTTAAGGTTCTTTGGCATTTGTTCATAAATGAACCAGTTCGCTCTAGATCCAAAGTTAAATAAATTTGAACCCAAAAATGTTTAGGAAAGAGAAAAAACGCGTTTTAATAAATTTAAAAATAATTGCTAAACGAATAATAAAAATGTTTCAAATTTGTACATTAAAAGAAATCAAAGTTTTGAACCAAACCCGGCTCACGAACCAGCAGGAAGCTGGTTCAAAACGCGAGCGACAATTCTGATTGGAATTGCTGGCGGGTTTTCTTACTAACAAATTGAATATACAATTTATGGCATTTGGATATATTGATTAGTTTAATGGAACGTGGAGAAATTATATAATCATTTGGTTTGAAACTTGGCTAGAAAGCCGGTTGAACCGGAAGCTGGTTCAAAACGTGGCCGACAATTCTGATTGGAATTACAGGCAGGATTCTTAGTGAAAAAATGGAATGTACATTTATAGAGGATTAGAATATATGAACTTAACTTAAGCTGAACTAAGCTTAACGTAATGAATACCTTTCAATTTACCTGTGCAGATCGCCAAGAATGACACATTGCCGCAACAGGTGTGCGTGAACTGTGCCAAGACGGCCATCTCGGCGTGCCTGTTCAAGAAGAAGTGCGAGGATGCGGACAACTTTTATCGCCAGCAGCTGCTGATCAAGAAGATCGAGGGCCATACGGGCGAGCTAAACGTCGACGTGACGTTGCTCGACCAGCCGGCGCCGGATCCGCCGCCAGGCGCCGGTCTTCCGGCTAAGAGCGCCGGCGGCAGCAGCAGCAGCGCCAGCGGCAGCGGCAGTGGCAGCGCCAGCAGCAGCGGCGGCAGCAGCAGCAGCAGCAGCGGCGGCAGCAGCTCGGACGATGACGAGGAGGAGGACAATGCGAATGGTGTGGCCGTGCAACCGGATCCGGATGCAGATGCGGATGCGGATGGCAATGGCAATGAGAGCGATGCAGTCGAGGCACGGCCCCAGAATGGACACGCCAACAGCAATGGCCATCAGCAGATCATAGAGCAGCGGCGGGAGGAGCAGCCGACGCAGCCGAAGCAACCGAAGCAGGAGGCCGATGCACTGCAGCAAGCTGACGAGCAGCAAACTCTGGCGCTTGAACTCCAGCAACAGCAGCAGCAGCAACAGCAACAGCAACAGTTGCAGCAGCAATTGCAGCAGGAGCCGCACGAGGATGGCGAAATGCCGGAGCACATGCCGTTCAATTCGATACGCCTGATGCAGGAGTATATGCAGCAGCGCATGAACAAGTTTCCCAATGGCAATGGACATGTGTTGGGTGCCGGCGGCCACAACGATGCGGATGATGACGATGACGATGACGACGACGAGGATGAGGACATGACATTGCCCTTGATACCAGAAATTGAGCTGATAACACCCTCGGATCCGGACCCGGAACCGTCCGGCGGCATGATGCCCGGCAGCGATACTGATGCCCCCGCCGGCCTGGCCAATGGTGTTGGCGCCGGCGCTGTCCATGGATCAGCCGGCGTCGGCGTTGGCATCGGAGTCGGTGGCTTCCAGTGTCCGCACTGTTACCTAATCTTCGAGATGAAGCAGATACTCAAGGCGCACATGCAGAGCGTGCACGGCGCACCCGGACCCGTCTACGAGTGCACCAATTGCCGCAAGACCTACTTCTACAAGCGTTTCCTCGAGAAGCACATTCGACGTGGTCGTTGCGTCAAGAAGCGACGCAATCAGACGTAAGTTGCCCAACTGTCACACCCTAGTCTCTCGCCCAGCATTTGCCTAATCCTTTCTCATTCACAGCCGGCCGATGCAGTGCTCCGATTGCCATGTCCTCTTCCCCACCGGCCATCATCTGGGATGGCACAAGCGCACCGGCTGCCCATCCAAGGCGGCCAAAATGTAAGTACCAGCGGGAACATTGATTGTGCAGATAGGTAGCACTCCTTCGAGGCAGTTTTCTCCTTGAGCTCTGCTTTAAGATTTCAGGAATCTCTGGAGTTCGAACCCCCCACATACTGAAACCCCCCCCCAATATACTTCTCCGTCGAGCCCTCTTAGGTAATATATATATTGTAGCTGAACAAAAAGAGCAAATTGACAAATTTTGCTGAGTTTGAACCAGCGATCTCTCGCTTGTTCTTTTACATTTTAGTCAAAATAAGGTTTCGGTACAAAATGCAGCTTCTTAGATTTTAGGCTTTGGGCCTATCAGTTAGTCAGTTAAGCAAATGTGAAAATTGAAAAATGTGCTTGAGTTTGAACCAGCGTTCTCTCGCTTTTACTCTACCCTACGATCCAAAAGAAAGCTTCATTTAAAAGTGAGCTTTGTTTAATGCCTTCATCTCCTCCTTTCAGTTAAGTCAGTTAAACAAATAATGAAAAAAGTGAATTATGTTGCTGAGTTTGAACCAGCGTTCTCACGCTTCTACTCTACCCAACGACCCAAAAAGGAAGCTAAATTGAAAAATCACAGCTTCCTATATGCTGGGCCCTGGGCTATGTGTTGATCATCTATCGATTAGATAGTAAAACAAATATAAAACAAAACAAACAATTGTTATTGAGTTTGAACCAGCGACTTCTCGCCTGTACCGCTAACTTTCGTACTCAAAGTTAGCTTCAGCTGCTACGTTTCATCCCGCGCGATAAGTTTTCAGTTTGTCAGTTAAACAGATATCAGAATAGGTAATTGTTGCTGAATTTGAACCAGCGACTTCTCGCTTGTAACACTAACCTTTGATCGCAAAGGAAGCTTCAGCTGCTACGTTTCATCCCGCGCGATAATTTTTTAGTTAGTCAGTTAAATAGGCAATTGTTGCCGAGTTTGAACCAGCGACTTCTCGCTGATACCTTTCAGCTCAGTTCTGTATATACATAAAGATAGATAGCTCTATGGGAAGAATCGGCAGGGCAGCTGCATCCAAGCGAGCTTATGCATTTCTTCATCTTTATATAAGTATATCTACTTTAACTCTTTCCTCTTTTGTCTACACTTTTGCAGGCCCTTGCAGCAGCTCTTCAAGCAGAATATTGTGCAGTTCAACAACTTTCCGAAGCGCGTGGTGCCGCGCAAGCCGCCGCCGCCGCCGCCGGACAATGCTGCACTGCATCTGAACAATCGCAAGTAGGTGGCAATTTGTTTTGTGAAGCGCAACTTAGCTGATTCGATGCGTTTTAACTGGAATTTGTTTTCTTCTTTTAGGCTGGGCCTGACGAACAAGCGCAAGGGACGCACTCGCATCAAGCTGGACGCCAAAAAGATCGCCCTGGCCAAGCAGCTGATCTTGCGCGAGGCAACCACCACGGTGATTGCCAACGAGCTGAACATCTCGCGCACCTTCGCCTGGCGTCTGCGCAAGAGTCTCGTGAACGGTGTCAGCCTGCACGAGCGTGTCGTTGATCAGGCTCTCGAGGAGCACCAGCACCAACAGCAGCAGCAGCAACAGCACCAACAGCAGCAGCAACAGCAGCAGCTCCAGCTGCAACAGCAGCAGCAGCTGGAGCTGGAGCAGCACGAACGCCAGCAGCTGGAGGAGCAGGAGCGTCAGCAGCAGTTAACGTTGCCATATGGCCATCTGGGCCTGGGCCTCATCAAGGAGGAGCAAATGGACAGCGACGATGAGCAGCACGCGCCGCTCACCATTCTTGACCAGCTCGAGCCCGACGACATCAATGGCCAGATCGAGCGCGAACACGATAGGGATCGAGATCGCGTGCTCGATGGCGATGGCGATGGCGATGGCGATGCTGATGGCATTGTCGAGGGCGAGGGCGAGGGCGAGAATGATGGCATTGGCGATATTGGCGCCGAGGAAACGGCCGGCTATGCCGGCGACGATGATGTCTGCGGCCTGCTGCACAACGGCTACGATATGCGCGCCCAGCTGGAGGAGCACAGCCCCCTGGCCGAGGGCGCCGATATGGAGCATGAGCTGCACTCCAAGCGCGCCATATCCCTATCACCGACACCCATGTTGCCGGCACGCGCCGATGTCGAAGCCTATCAGCGACTCCTGGCCGAAACGCATCGCTTTCCGCACATTGTCAATGCCCAGCAGCTGCAGCTCCAGCAACAGCAGCAGCAGCAGCAGCAGAAGGTCGCCCACAATGGAACGCTGCCCATGTTGACGCGTTATCCGCCCGCCGTTGTGGCGGCCAAGTAAGTAGAGCTGAGCTCGTTGAGCTGGTCAGCTGCTTGGTTGGTCGGATGCTTCATGTTAGCTTGGGGATGACAGCATTTCCAAAGCAGCAGGAAGCTCATCCGAATCCTGCAAGTTGCAGCTGGACGACGAGCTAATGTCGATGTCCGTCTGTTCGTCCGTTTGTCAAGAGCTGCTGCTTGATGTGTAGCATATGAGTTTATTCTATTCATTTCGATAACTTCTTTACACTATCGATAAATATCGATTTGGAGGCAGAGTCTATTAAGCATAGCTTGGCATTTATAAGCAAACCTGAAATTTGGGTGCTCACGGCGCAACCTTCTATTCTTTTCATTTCGATAACTTATTCACAATATCGATAAATATCGACTTGAAGATATTGTTTAGCTGCATTCAAACCAGATACAGATGAGGCATATGTTTTTCAATCGGTTCTCCAAGTAAAAGCACTTTTTCTTGGCCCTATTTCTTAATTTCCTGAAGATCGCACTTCAAACTCCGAACTTCAAACTCAAGAACATTTATTGAATTCTTGTACTTTTTGTGACTCCTCTCTCTCTCTCTCTATCTCTCTCTCTCTCCTTCTCTCTTTCGCCTTCTCTCTTTCTCCTTCTCTCTCGCTCTCTCTCGTTGCCCTTCTCTTTCTATTGCATGCCAAGAAATATGCAATTAATTTAATGAATTTCTTTGCCTTTCTTTTCAGTCATGCTTTGCCCGTCAACTTGTCCCTGCGCTCGCTGCCGCCCATCAACAGCAATGAGAGGTTTGTGCTCTCTCTCTCTCTCTCTCTCTCGCTCGCTCTCTCTAATGTTGTTGTCTCTCTTTAAGCAATGGCAGCTCTGGCAGCAACCCGCATCATCATCATCAACAGCCGCAGCCACCGCCACCGCCGCCGCAGCAGCAGCAGCAGCAACAGCAGCAGCAGCAGCAGCCGCTGGCGCAGATCCATCAGCCTGGCAAGAAGCCGCGCAAGCCGAACGTCTTTATTGATGATGAGAAATATGCCATGGCCAAGCTGTTGGTCGCCCAGAATGCGTCCACCATGGAGATAGCGCGTGCCCTGAACGTCTCCCAGATGACGGCCTGGAAGGTGCGCGATGCCATACTGAAGGGCGTGCCGCTCTCCTATCGCAACAAGCGCGCCGAGGGGCGTGACGAGGCGGCCGCCCTGGCTGCCAAGGAGCAGCAGCAGCAGCAGCAACAGCAGCAACAGCAGCAACAGCAGCAGCAACAGGAGCAACAGCAGCAGCAGCAGCGCCATCAACAGGAGCTGCAGCGTCAGCAGCAGCTGCAAATGGAGCTGATCAAACAGCAGCAGCAGCAGCAGCAGCAGCAAAAGCAACAGCAACAGCAGCGACAGCAGCAGGAATTGCTGCTGCAACAGCAGCAACAGCAGCAGCAGCAACAACAGCAACAACAGCAGCAGCAGCAGCAACTGCGTCAGACACCAGCGGATACATCACATTATCAGCAGCAGCAGCAGCAGCAGCAGCAGACGCCGCCTTTGAATGGCGGAAAAATGTTGCATCCGCGTCGCCGCTTGAAGGCCGCCGAGCGCGAGATGCGCGACAAGGAGATCACACGCGAAATACTCGAGCTGATCAAGGAGGACAGCAATATACAGTACTGGAAGGTGTCCGCACGCCTGGCCGAGAAGGGCATCAATATATCGCCGTCGTCCGTCTGCCAGAAGCTCAAGTCGATGGGCATCCATCGGCGCTGGAAGCCCGGCGACAAGCCGCCCATGCTGGCCATCAGTCAGTTCAAGGCGGCAACTGTTGCCGCTGCCGCCGCGGCGGCCACATTGGCGGCGAATGGCGCCAGCTTTGGTCTGCCGAATGGCGTCAATGTCGGCGTCGGCGTCGGCTCGATGGTCGACGATGTCTACGAGCAGCAGCAGTTCGATATGGGCGGTCCACATTTTCTTAGTGCCTTTACGCGCTAGACGCCGATAACGATAACGATAACGCTAAACGAACGCGATAACAATAAATGTGACAATGACGATAACGTTAACGATAACCAGGACCAGGACGACAACAAAATGGCATTTAAAACGCCAACTAAAATTTATGGACAACAGGATAATAACAATTTTGATAGCTTTGATATCGGCATTGGTAACAATAAGACTAACGATAACGATAACGATGACGAAGACGATGACGGAGACGAAGACGATAACCTGGAAGCTTATGCTAACAGTGACATTTTAAATGTTAACTGAAACTTGATTGAAAACACGATAACAACTGAAATATGACAATTTTGTTATCGATAGCATCGATAACGATGACGATGACATGAACGTGAATAATGATATCTAGCGCGATTTACTGACAATAAATTGCAACAAATATTTCGATGTCACAAACGATACCAATCAGAACAACCGAAGAGCGACGTCCATAGCGATAGCGATATCTGTTACGATAGCGCTATCGGCATCGATACGCAGAACGATATCGATTGTCGTCGGCGCTTAACAATAATGTTGGCAATAACGATGGCAACATTGCTAACAAGATCGATAGGAATATTGATAACGATGACGACGCAATGGACTAAAGCATCCACGATAACAAAAGACAATGACTAAACGATAACGTTAACTACGGTAACAGCAACAGCAACAGCAGCTGTGACAGTAACAGTAACAGCAACAATAACTGTAACAGTAACAGTAACAGTAACAGTGACAGTCACACGCACAGTAACTGTAACTGTAACAGCATGAGTTAAAGCCACAATAACAGTAACAGTAACAGTAACAGTAACAGTAACAGTAACAGTAACAGTAACAGTAACAGTAACAGTAACAGAAACAGAAACAGAAACAGAAACAGTAACAGTAACAGTAACAGTAACAGTAACAGTAACAGTAACAGTAACAGTAACAGTAACAGTAACAGTAACAGTAACAGTAACAGTAACAGTAACAGTAACAGTAACAGTAACAGTAACAGTAACAGTAACAGTAACAGTAACAGTAACAGTAATAAAAACATTACCAATAATGCAGACGATGACGACGAAGACAATGCCTCCCGGTCCCGCCCAACGCACGTTCCCTAACTATATAAGTATTACACGCATATGCATACACATACATATATATACACACACACACACACACACACTAAAATACCCTCCCACACACACACACACACACACACACACCCAAGCACAGCAGTAATAGAAACAACAATTTGTATTTTTTATATAGTATTTAAATGTGCAAATCGCGCGCTGCATAAAACTACATCAAATGTATTCTATACCATATACATGATGTATTACGTTATGTACATATATATATATATATATATTTGTACGTATATATAAATATAATTTATATTATATATATGTATATATATATATATATATATATATATATATATATACAACCTATATATGTATATCTATATATATATATATTTTTTTTTTATTAGATGGATAACAAGAACGCATATAGCGCCTATATGCTACGCATTCCTAGAATGTAAGACTACACACACACACAAACACACACACACACACACACACAAACACACAAACACACAAACACACATACACACATATACGCAAAGCGGTCATTCCAAAACAAAAACAAAAGAAAACGAAAAAAAAATACCATTTAGTTCGTTTTTCCATATATTATTATTTTATAGAACTATATGAACCATATTTTTTTTATATTATTATTATTATTATTATTATTATTATTTAAATGACGGTATTTTATTCAATTGTTAGTCGTTAGTTGCAACATTTTGGACTTTTGAAACTCTGGCGCCGCTAATAATTAGTAGAGAGAGAAAAAAACCCATTATAATCTAGTATTTATTATATACTAAAAAGAACATGCTAAACAAATTGATGTATGTGAATGTGAATGTGAATGGTTATTGTTAACTGAACATTTATTTATTTTTATATGCTATATGCTCCACATTTACTATATATATGTATACATATATAGACAAATCTATATGTATATATATATATATATAGAAACCTTTTTTTTTGATTAGCTTACACAAAAAGGCTATAAACAAGACATTACAAAAAATACACACACGCATGTAAATTGTGTTTGCAATTTATTAAAGTACTGAATTTAAATTTTAGTGAATTATCATTATTATCCTTATCATTATTATTATTATTAATATGTTAAATTATGCATAAATGGAACAAATGAACGCGATACTAGAGACACACACAACAACAACAACAAGAACAAACAAAACAAAATACTAAAAAACTAAGATAGAAAATCGAAAAGAGAAAAATACCATATTAAGACATTTTTTTTCGTGTTAACATAAGTGCAATTACAACAATAATGAGAGACAGCAACAACAACAACAACAAACACACAACAGCAAATTATTATGCAATAATATTGTATTATTATTATTTTATTGAAACGTATTTTTTTTTTTTTGAGAAGCGCATAGAAAGGCGTCGCTTCTCTTTTTGGCCTGGCCTTAAACAACAGGGTGCAATAGACAAAATTGTTAATACATTTAGATTTTATGCCTAAAAGCCTAAGACCCGCACACCTGCCCCCTGCCCAGCCCCCACACTTCCCCCTCACAGCCAGGTACACACTTAAGACAAACGAACAATATTTAATTAGCCAATTTAGTAAAAAAAAAAAAAGAAAAAAAAACGAAAAGAAGAAAATAAAAAATGATTAACATTGAAAAGAAGAAGACAACACTTACCATAAGCATACTGAGAATTGTATTTATTTACAGTATATATACCACACTTATACGATTTAAGTGCATAAATAATTTATGGATCGCAAGCGCGATTGTATTTGCAGCTTAGCTTCTATTACTAAGGCCTATCGAATGAAAGCGCGTGAGCGAGAGAGAGAGAGAGAGAGAGGAAGTTCTCTCTCATCTGAGCGAGATTGTGTATATCGATAAACTTATCGATAGTTTAGTATTTTTGTAATTTAAAATTGTAACGCCCCACAGGCGACACACACACACACACACAACTCACACACACACACCCGCTGTATTCCCGCTATATACATGATATATCGTATATATATATATATATATATATATATATACTTGTGGATGTATGTAGTTAGTATTTTGTGTTTTCTATTTTGTTCTTTTCCTTCCAGCTTTTTGTATAAAATACAAGAATATTAAATATACATTAAACAAAAATTATCATTAAAATTATTTATAAGCAAAAACCATAAATAATGGAAAAACACACACACACACACACACAAACAACAACAACAAAACTAAACAAAACAAATAGAACTGACGTGCCTATGTAGCGATAAAAACTGAAACTTTCCTCTCCAAAATCTGAAAAGATGAAAATTATAAATAAAAAAAAAATATTAAAAAAATATTTAAAAATAGCAACAAAAAAAAAAGAAGAAGATATGCAAACAAATATATGCAAAAAAGAAAAGAAATCAAAATACACACACACACACACACACAGCGAGTTTATGGAGTAGACTTTATTTTAGTTGTAATTCGTGGACTGTGCCACAACCAACACCAACACACACACACACACACACACACACACACACACACACACACACACACACACACACACACACACACACACACACACACACACACACACCCAACCGATGTACTACATAATAATCATTCCAAAATGTCATAAAAATACATATTTATATATATAAATATATATATATATGTGCATATGTGTTTAAACATGCCTATATTTTATGAAAATAACTGAGAAATTTGTTTTTCTTATGCGCCCAACGCCAGGGAAAGGGAGTTAACAGCCAGAGCGCACCATTTCCGAGCCTCGAGAGAACTTATCTTGAGCGGGGCAACCAGTAGAGTCGAGCTAAACGAGATCGTCCGAATAAAGGCTGGCTTTATATCATATAGACAATATTCTATACTCGAGTAATGCCTCACAATCTATCTAGCTATACGAAACTTTAAGCTCCAAATTAAACGTAAATAGCTTCAGCTTTGGTATGCAACCTTTTTTGCATGCAACCTGAGAGTTTCATAAAGATCGGACCAGGAATGAGAAGAATCATTTTCCCATAGGAAATCTGAAATGTTTATCGGGTAGTCGGGTATTCCCGATTGGAGCCCAGTTATTCGTTTAGTTCTAGTTCGATTGATTTGCATAGTTCACATCAATCAGTACACAGCATCCGGTGAATGGGGGGTTGCCTTTGGGGAATTTCTAGATATTAAGCCAAAAATCAATTTAATAGCAATGGAGTTGTCTGTGGCTTTAAGCCTAGAGCTGTACTTGCCGCGACGCCTTTGTTTCCAGTTGTGCACCCCCGTGATTAATGCTCATCGTTTGCAAGGCGAGGCGGGTAGACACGACTCGCAAACGCCTTTGCAGCTGGTACAATATCCCTTGACAGCCGCTAACAGGCACTTTCAAGGTTTTGCAGTTAACAATGAAGATAAAGTACCTGCTAAATGTTAACGGGCAGGTTGAAAAAAAATAAACAAACATAAGTACAAACGAGAAACAAATTTATCGCAGCACATAATTAAAATTTGACGGCATTTAAAAGTGCTTGTCAACCTTTGACAGCAACATAAACGAGTTGGCTGCAAACTAAGTTGTAAAAGTTAATGTTAAAACATAAACATGTACGGTTTGATGTGGAAAAACAAACCGACTTTTAATAGAACTCTGGCTCACTGCCAGAAAGCAATTACCAAGAAAGAGAGAGAGAGAGAGAGAGAGGGAGAGAGAGAGAGAGAGAGAGAGAGAGAGAGAGAGAGAGAGAGGGAGAGAGGTACAGAGAGGATCTAAGTTGTATTGCTCCGCTCTTGGAACTCTCTGGATAGCATGACGAGCATGATGAGTAAAAGGGATTTTCCAACAAGCGATATGCATGTAATTGATTATGATTGTTTGTGTTTTTACTAAACAATGTATTTAAGTGCGCTA